GATAGATTTCAGCTTTCTGACTTAAACCCTGCAGTTTTTCATACACACACAAAGAAAAGATCTGCAGCATTCTTTTAGTAAAATTTTTACTGTAATTATTTGACAGCCCAATTTCATGAAAAGCACCTCTGGCCAGAGAAGCTGCTGACTCGATGATCCAAACTGGTCAGTGTTTTAAACACCTTGCCAAGTGACTTGGCTAAGGTCCAAATATACTGGGCCCAGTGTGCCGGATGTTGAAGGTGTCACCTCATTTCAACTCTCCCCTGGCACGAGGTTTGATATGTGGTACCCAAGAGGCTTTTTTCCAGCGCCACATCTGGTCTTTCCCAGATGCACGGACAGATGAATACGCACTGCCCCGACTGTCAAGATAGCAGATAGGAATTCTCTAGTGCCTGCTTGTTTGCCAGATTGAAATTAGTTCATGATAACAAGACATGAGCCCAGGTGTACCATAGGCAAATTGAAAGTGAATTCACATATTGATTACCACCTCTAATGTATATTTTCTACAAACTACTGCATCAACAAGAGAAGAAGGACCTTGCCAAATTTTGCATCCTTTGCAGCCTTTTGTTGGTAAAGCCAAACCAAACCAAGCCATTCAGTTAGCACAGGCAATAAATCTCACTGAAGCAGTTTTGCATGCTTTGCTTGGATTAGCTCTGTGCAACATGCAAGTCCATCAAGTGGTCATCGTCTAGTGGCCTGTCCTACAATTACAGGTTGTAAATACATGGTAATGCTGTCAACAGAGCCACAACTCACCCATAGACAGATAGCGATGTGTCCTTGGCTAAGCAATCATGACTGCTGCCAGATGAAGGTGGTCCAAGGTTTCATTTGAAGGTCCCTTGATGGTAGCACACTTGAGTGGACCCTATTATAACCTATGCTAACAAACAGAGCTCCAGAAACATTGGTGTATTAGTGACATGTAGATGTAATCACATCTTAATTGAGTTTATTTTATTTTATTTTGATACAATTAATTTTTTTCTGCTTTGATTAATTGAACAATAAGGCAATATATCAGTAAACAAAAATGCCACATCATTAAATATTTTGACATTATTGAACACACACGCATTTTCTTTGTAACTGAATTCTAAATGAGAACCATACAAAAACCATCTAAAAGTTATAATCTGCCATTCTGTAAAGACTTTATAGTGGGTAGCTTAGCATGAACAAAACAATATATTTTTAAGCCGTTAGTTGGCATTACAATTGGACCGAATGAGTGCAGCTACATCGCAAATAATAAAGTGACAGTTTAAGAGGTGCATTGTGCCAATACCTAGGCAGGTAGATGTACAGTAATAGCAAATATAAAACACATTCAAGGTACTCAATACAAGTTAGATGCAAGATGCATCGGAAAGCCAGTATTATTGACAAATATTAGCTATTTGCAGATTTTGCAGATTTATTAGTATTGACATTTACACAGGCTGATAAGTTTAATTTTAATAAGTAGAGGTGAGAGAAGCAACTTCGAACTATATTGTGAGTGTTGATGTTGAATACTTTGTCCACCGGAGGGCGCTCTACAACTTCCCTGTTAGCAACACATGTTTGGCATGCCATAAACACAACAACCAGCTGATCCGAGCGCAGTCACACGAATCGCAAATGACTAAATAAACAACCACACATAATAAATATAAGGGAACTTTAACTGCACGGTGGTGCGGTGGTTAGCAATGTTGCCTCAAAGCAGAAAGGGCCTGAGTTCAAATCAACCAACTGGCCCTGATTAAAGGGGTTGTGTCTGTGCGGGTTCTCTCCAGTTTTGTCGCACAGTCCAAAGACATGCAATTAGTGTAGATTGATGATTCTAAATTACCCATAGGTGTGAATG